ACTAGACATCTGATGATTATTCTTGCTGCTGAAAATCTTAATAGTTTGTTAATTACCCACACTGTTTTCAGAACAATTTTTTACTTGCTGAAGTGACTCTGCCATCTAGAATGTCTGTTTGCTGCTTCTTGTGGACATCTGTAGGTTGTAGCAATGCACCAGCAGTCTGTAACAGTCCAGATGCTCTCAATAAATGATGTCCATGAAATACTGTGCAGAGCTTTCTCCAAATGCACTTTCCACCAAATCAACTACATTGAATGTCTGTCATTAATTATAACCAATGAGCTACCATCTCTTTTCTTTTAGATCAACCCTTTGTATCAGAAACATTAAACCTCAAATACCAAGTCGAGAGGATGAGTTAGTGACTGCCAAATTTTCAACTGGAAGAGGAAGGCCTTTCGCTTATATCCATTTGCAGAAAACACGATAATGTGAGATAAAGATTTTATCAACATTTGAAAAATCCTTCATGACTTCCCTGTACTTTTGCTACCTTCATATTTGCAATACCATTATCCAAACTGGTACAAAATCTTACCATAGGATGAGATATGTAAAATAATGAAACAGGATTCCCCTGATGACAACTCATTTCAAAAGACTGACCTCTCTCTTGTTTGTCATCCAGACTGGTCCTTGCTTTTGCAATTCACACATCGCTTGTGTCATTCAAACTGGAATCACCTTTAGGTGGAGACTTCAGTTGGTTCACATCTTAAATTCCCTATACATCCATGACTTTATAATGAATAAAATAGCCAGCATAAATATTTATAAGCAAATAAATGATGGTTCTATCAACAATCCAAACACCACATATATTTTCTATTTTGTTGAAGAATACTAAATGTAGGCTTATTTTTTCTATAAGTATTAGAGCATTTCTTTCTCTGACCCCTTTCTATTTGCTGCTTTTTTTTCAGACGTCTAACCCTGTCTTCTTTTTTCCATTCCTTTCGTTTTTGCTAGGATTCTATATGGTATCCTGATTGCTCATCACACCTACAGAAATTAAATGACAACTCCTCGCAGCATTATTCTTCTAGATAGAACAATACAACTTTCTTCTCCTTTGACACCATCAAAACTCCTGCTAATAAAATAACCTATGCCTGTGTTCCTCAAGTGAAGACAGATGCAGACCAGATTCATGCCACTTGTGCTGCCTCTTTAAATTTACACTAGATTTGCATTCTGGTGTAACATGACAGCTCCAACAGAACAAAACCGTCAAGCCCACCAAAAATGTGTACATGCAAGGAGTAAGGCAGTGTAGAAAAAAATATCTCAATCTTAGCTGAAAGTTATAATTGCTCTATAGTTAGTAGGGAAACACAGGCATCTCCATGAAATCACCCATTACATTCCAAATTAGGTGGACTGAATTTCTCTCTTGAAATGCCTCTTTTCCTTGACTGTAGAGTGAACTTGTGTCACTAGATTAGACGAGATACTTGAATTCTAAATGAATAAAGATGAGTAAAATAAATTTCAATGAAGGACCAGTGTAAGTATCATATTATTAACACATCATGAGCTATGTCTGTGGAAAGGTAATGATTAGTAATTTATCAGATTAATAAGGCACATATATACGTGTCACTGCTTTTTATAGTGTGTTATTATGTTTTTATAGTGTGTTGAAAACATTGTAAGCATCAGAACCACACCACTACGAAGAACAGCGTAATTAATTAGTACAGTCAGAATGTAAACTGAGAGGCTGAACCGTTCTACTTAGTGCATTTGCATTACTATAATCCAACTCCAAGAAGAAAGGGACAGCTCAGAGAAAGAGCTGCTTTTAGCAGCCTTAGGCACACTGGAGATATGGGATCGGCTTATGAAGAGTGCGTCTGAGAAAAAGGAAAAGAAAAGACATAAAGAGCTGGTCAGGACACACAGTCCTGTTCTGTTACGGCTAAATGAACCTTCAAAAAGTATTCAGCCATCGCTTGAAGAAGAAAATATTTTCAGATACGCCTTATCTCGTGTCTGTGCTCAGCACCTGGTAATCAAGAACTGAACCCTGGCAACTCACACTTTCCTTTCCCTCCCTGTGGGAATCGGGAATAACGACCGCGACCACGACAGCGCTCCGGGCGGCCGGCAACCAGCCGCGGCTTCGGCCGCCCCGACCAGCGTTTGTCAGGACCTTCCCCTCCCCTCCGCAAAGACCCTCAGGGAAGGGAGGCCTGCGGCGAGCCAGCCCGCCGGGAGAAGGGAAGCCCCTCCCGCGCTCCCGGCACTCCGGCTGGACGGCGAGGCACTGCTCCTCCGAGC